CAGAGATCCTGGAATCCTTGTGATTTCCTGAGTGATATGAATGATCATTTGCTATTCATCATGAACCCCTTTCAGTAACATTTGATTTTATGCTAATGAGGGGTACTAGGACCCCTGGATAGCTTGGGGTGATGCCAGTCAGCAGAAATCCAGAATATTAGAGGCTTGGAACATTTATCCCTTCCTGCCAACCTCCAGCAAATGGAGTGGGGACCAATGGTAAAGCTCTACAAAAACTCTTGGAGTCAAGATTTGCTGAGCTTCCCAGTTGCTGAACAAGTAGAGAGGCTCAGAGGGTGAAGTGCCCTCTCTCCCATCCCTTCCTCTATACATCTCTTCCATCTAGCTGTTCCTGAACTGTAACCCTTATAATACACTGGCAAAGGTAGGTAAAGTTTCCTTGAGTTCCATCAGTCTTTCTAGCAAGTTACTGAACCTCGAGGTCATGGGATCCTCTGAATTATAGCTGGTTGGTCAGAAGTATGACACGGTCTTGAGATTGCATCTGAAATGGGAGCAGTGCTGTGAGACTGAGCCTTCAGCTTGTGAGGGCTATTCAGGTAGTGTCAGAGTGGAATTGAATTATCGGACACTCAATTGATGTCTGCTAGAGAACTGGCTTGTGTGAGGGGAAAAAACCCACACATCTAATCACAAAAAAATGGTCATTTCTGAGAATATAGTAGAAGAAAACAGTCTGTTAATTTGTCTGTTTCCCAGCCTGGAAAGTAGTAAATGCTCTGTACATATTATTATTGGAAAGAAAGGAGCCCTAGAAACACGCTGGCAGTGTCAGGAAATTGACAGCTGTGCTTTGTAAAAATACTCTATACATAACCCTTCTATATCTTTTTCTTACCTAATTACTCCTGCTAACGTTTCTAGTACTGTGTTGAACAGGAGTGGTGATAGTGGACATCCTTGTCTTGTTTTTTATTTTAGAGGGAAAAGGTTCAGTTGTTTGCAATTTAATATGATATGGACAGTATGCTTGTCATAAATGTCTTTTACCAAATTAAAATAAGGTCCTTCCACAACTACTTTCTTCCGTCTTTTTAATCATGAAAGGATGTTGGATTTTATCAAAAGCTTTCTCTGGGTTGACTGAGATGACCATGTGATTTTTGTCCTTGCTTCTGTTTATATGATGTGTTACACTTGTTGATTTGAGCCATGCTTGCATCCCTGGGATGAAGCATATACTTGGTCACGGTGTATGTTCTTTTTGAGGATTTGTTACATTGGTTTCCCAGTATCTTCCTAAGGACTTTGTGTTCTTTTTCCATCTTACCCTAGAAAGAATGGCCATCATCAAGGAATCAAATAATGATGAATGCTGGTGAGGCTGCAGGGAAAAGGAAACTCTTCTAACATTGTTGGTGGAAAGATAAAGTAGTTCAACTACTATGGAAATCAGTTTGGTGATTTTTTAAAAAAATAAAACTAGAAATTCCATTTGATCTACCTTTTCCCCTTCTAGGTTTCTTTCCTAAAGAGTTAAAGAAATCATATTATAATGCATACCCATGGTTATAGCAGCACCACTCATAATAGTTAAATCTTGAAAGGAGCATATATGACCACTAACAGATGAATGGATTAAAAAAATGTCATATTGGGCCGGGGATTTAGCTCAGTGGTTTCGCCGCCTGCTGCACAAGCGCAAGGACCCAAGTTCAATTCCCCAGTATCAAAAAAAAAAAAAATGTCATATTTGCATGCCATAATGTACTACTCTGCCATAAAAAAAAGATAAACTTGAGTCATTTGTAGGAAAAAGAATGCATCTTGCGACCATAATGTTAAGTGAAACAAGTCAGACATGCAAGCTTAAATATCATATGGTTTCTCTTATATGAGAAACCTAAATTATAAATAAAGAGCAAAACAAAATATAATAGGAAGTAGAGAAATAGATCTTTCTCAAATGGGAAAGGAATCAAGAGATAGAGGGGAAAGAGAAGGTAGGGAAAAAGGATGAAAAAAGGAATTAAAATGAGTTATATACATGTACCAACTCCACACAAAGAGCGGAAACATTACATACTGCACATACTACAAACATAATAAAAATGAATACATAAAAATCTATACTCAGAATATACATAACCCATTGATGAGGTTAGTGCTCTGTCACCTCTTCAGGACTCTCAATCCAGTCAAGTTAACAATCAAGCTTAACTTGCACAATTTAGCAGGTTTGATTAGGTTTAATGAAGGGAAAGTTTAACAAGGGGAAACCGAGTTTGGAAGCAAAGACAACCTATTGGGCAGGATGGGATAGGAAATGCTTGATCCCAATTTGATCTCTGGACTTTATACAATACTTACTGTATCACAAGATTTGGTGTTCATTGTTTTATTAATTTTCTTTAGTAACCCCATTTGAAATTAGAAACTGGCCCTTTGTAGTAACTGTATTTCTACAAAAGCATGTACAGTATTCAAGTAGGTCATTTTCTAAGAATCACTACACTTTCAGAGGGGAAAAAGTTCCTTCTTATGTGAAATGTCTCATTCCTGAAACTGACCCTTTTTTCCCTGAACCCCAGCATTGGGATAAAGATGTCAAACATTTGTAGCATACATTACTTGGTAACTATACAAAAAAAAACTTTGACATTTGAAGTAGCCAGTTTGACACAATTTATAAAATCAGCCAATATAAAGTTTTGCTTTGTCATGAGAGTCTCCAGAGGATGTTATTAACTACCCTGGTATAGGCACCAGGACCTTGGAGAACCAGAATGTTTCCTTACCTCTTCAAGGTAAAGATTTCACATTCCAGCTAGAGATGAACTGCAAGGATCACTCTGTCCTCTTGGGTAATGTTTCAAGACAGATAGCTCCTAGGACTCCCTATATGTGTTCAATGGCACTGTGCCCATGTATTTTCTCCTAGTGTATTCATGAAGTATATACAGTAGAATCTACTAGAGGCCCATGTGCTCTTCTTTGAAAAATTATCACTTGTGTTTGTATATTCTTTTGAGTTAGGTACATATTTTCTTTCCTTTGCTTGCCGTCCTTTCACCCCCACTTTGCTATAAATCCTTAGCCACCTCAGCAGAGATTTTGGTAATCATAAAAAGGAAGGTTAGTTATAAATACCTCCTTTTACAAAGGAAAAGGATAGAGGTGGGAAGATTGTTCAGAGGGATATTAGGTCAGGCATTAATATTTGTAGGACCAAGAAGGGAAATTTTTGGAAGAAAATAATTGTTATTCTTTCAAACGAGTTTTTTTTTAAATTAGGAATATGAGGCAAAGTGAGTAATATGGAGAATTGATTAGATATTTAGATATTTCAGGACCCAAGCCCAACCACCTGCTACCAGGCAAACCCACTGATGAGTTCATAGCTCAAGGGGCTATTAAGAAGTGAGACCTAGTTGAAGAAAGTGAGTCTTAGGGATGTGACACTGGGAACTCTATCTGGTTCCAGGCAAGGTATAGATAACAAGGTTAAAACTTCAGGGCCAGGGATTTAGCTCAGTAGTTTCACCACCTGCTGCACAGGCATAAGGACCCGAGTTCGATCTCCGGTACCAAAAAAAAAACCCAAAAAACTTCGAACTTTCTCAAGAAAATAGCACAAACATATCTTGTATGTAATTTTAGGAGCCTCACGTAAACTTAGACTCGCTTTTGATAAAAAATGGGATTTGATGGAAAAATAGGAACAAAATGTTTGTAAATAGGGAGGAATGGAGGGGTTGAAGGGAGGGCTGGGCAAGGGTGAAAAATAAGAACCAAGAGAGACTATGTAAAGGTGCAAATTTCCAATGATGAATGTCATTATATTGTATACCTAAAATGTACCAATGATTAGAATGAATAATCGATAATGTAAAATAGGAAGAAAAGGTCCAAAGGGATAGGGGTAGTGGGAGGGGCAGGGGAAAGGAAAGAAGGGAAAGGAAAAATGATGAGAAATGGAAATAAAGTCTTTGTAAATAGGGAAGGGTGGAGGGCGTGAAGGGAGGGCTAGGAATAGGGAAAAAATAAGAACCAAGATGCATTATGTAAAGGTACAATTCCCAATGAGAAATGTAATTGTGTTGTATACCTACAATGTACCAATAAAAGAATTTAATACAAAAAAAAATGGAATTTGAACTTGAAAAGAAATAAGGAAGCATTACCTAATGAGCTGGCTACCTGGTCAGTGGACAAGGATACCTGTGTGGCTTTGTTCTTCAAATCTAAGTACATTGTATTTACAGCCACCGCTTGATTACGTGTAGAACTTCCTATAGCTGGCCTCCAACTAGAGCTCTGTGGTCTCATGGAGCTGGAAAGTGAGACAGCATTTATGGTCACATTTAAGCTTTTGAAAACATTCACAGAATTGTTGAATGCACTCAGTTGGAAAAGAAAATATTTTTCATTTTCATTCAAAAGCCAGTTTCCTTTTTTCTAAAAAAAAAAATTTTTTTTTTAAGGCAAAAAAATCCAACATAAGAAATAGTGAGATGCCCTCTTCTGTTTCTAAACAGTTAGTGCAGGGCCTTTGAATACTGACAATTTGAAGGATTTCCATTAAATCGTAAACACCCCAGGATTTTAAAATCCAAAAGCATTTCTATTGACCTCCAGTGACTGAAGCATCGCCTCGTGTAGCCGAACTTCCTCTTTGCCAATTAAGAAGCCCTCATTTCTCTCTGTTTGTAACAGTACACCCTGTTCTTGGCTGAGAAGAAAGCAAAATTAACCTTGGGCTGGCGGCTGTGCGCTTGATTTCCCCGGGCGAGTGAATGAGCTCGCGAAATGTATAAATAATGTGCCCGAGTCTCCTTGTTGCTCAGTGTTTTCATATTCACTGCCCAGAAACCTGGAGCAGGATTCCAAGCTGTTAATGCGTTAATACTTTCACCAACAATGTAACAGTAAACCCAGAAGGATGACCCGAACTTCCTCTTCTGCGCTGGCAGAATTTTGGCGTGCAACTTGCAAAATTTGACAAATTATGCAAAGAAACAAATGAAAAAGGATCATACCAGATCTAAATTGGAGGTGCTGGATCACAGTTGTTTCCGTGGAACTACCACTGGGCTCCTGCCAGTTGCATCTAGGCAGGAAGGAAATGCAAATTAAAAGGAAAAATTAGGCCATTTTAAAGCAAAGTGAATTTTCAGCAAAAGCTCAGTACTAACACTAAAGAATAAAAAAGGTATTATTCAGTTTTAAATTGGATTTATTCTTTTCCTCAGTTATTCTGAACCACTTCTTTCACTCTTCCCCCAGAGTCACTGAGGTGTTTTGATAAGGGCTCATTATTTCTGCAACATCAGTTCTCATCTTCATTACTTCCTACAATCTCTTTTGTTTCTTTCAACTACAGAAAGTGATTTTGACCTTACATAGACCCATAACCTTTACTAAAATCAAAGCTAGTTGCATTTCTTTTTATCATTTTCAAAACTAAACAAATATCTTTAATGTAGAAAATCAGACCTCAAACCAGAACTAAACATTAGACACTTTTCTATTGCTTACCAGTCCTATGAACTTGAGATTCCCCAGTTGTAGGTCCAGATCCCTAAAGCCTGTCTCAGTGGCTTCCATGAGGACATGAGATTATGTAGGAAATCTCAGCACTTAGTGAGTGTATTATATGTACAAGGTGATATTTTCCCCTTATTATTTACTAACTCATTTAATCTTCACAGTAAGTTCCAAAGATAGAGGACATTCTATCCCCACTTCACAGACAGAAAAACTGAAGCAAAGAAATTAAGTAATTGCCTAAGCATTTTGCTACAAAATGGAATCTCTGAGATGCAAACTCAGGTAGTCTGGTTCCAGAGCTCACACTCTTTATGGTTATATACACAACATTCCAGAAGGGTTGTAGAATTGTTATTCATTTATTCATCGGCTATTTATTGAACATTTACCATAAACCACACACTGTTATATGAAGAAAAGGTCTAAAGGAGCAGGGGAAGTGGGAGGGGTAGGGGAAGGGAAAGAAGGGAAAAGAAAAAATATGAGAAAAGGAAAACAATGAAAACAAAGTCTTTGCAAATAGGGAAGGGTGGAGGGGGTGAAGGGAGAGCAGGGGAAGGGGAAAAAAATAAGAACCAAGATACATCATGTAAAGGTACAAGATCCCAATGATGAATGTAACTGTATTTTATACCTAAAATGTACCAATAAACTTAATGGGAAAAAAATTTTAAAAATAATAAACCACACACTGATTATGACCAAAAATGATCAGATCAGTGGAATTTTTATAACTGTTCACTGCCACCATCTTCACTCTTTCCATCCTGTAGAGAATAAAGAAAGAGGGAACAGGAGGAAGAAAATAAGCAAGCTCTAAACCCAACATTTTGAACATTTTCAAAATAGTCACCCAGAACCTTGAGATGCTAGAGCTCAAATAGGAGGACTCCTCTGCAACATGGAAGAGTTGGAAGAGGGAGGCGGCAACTATGTGTAGGGGACACTGTCCCTCTCCGCAGGCAGGTTTGGAAGACACAAGGTGGCAGAAGCAGAGATGGGCTGAGCAAAGACAGGACTGCTGAGCTCACCACACCAAAGTCAGTGATCTTCAAACCTCAAACCCCTGACACCTAATCCTCAGTCATCTTCACCCAGTTGCTAGAAGATCCAAGAAGACACCTTCTATGAAAGCACTCCCGGACTGGGAAGTGCTCTGTGGGGTTATCAGTAATGAGGAACCATTAGGAAGTGACTTCTGACCTCAGCAAGGACTACAAAATTGCACTATATAAGAGATAGCAAGAAAATATTTCCTTTTTAAAATGAGAGAAGAGGGATTAAGGCCCCAAGACTTACCTATAGTCATCAAGAAAAAAAAATCATTATTTAATAATGTTATGTATTTAATAACATTAATTTTATTATTGTTTTGTTTTGTTGTGTGTTCATTTGAGACAGGGTCTTGCTACATACATAGTTCAAGCTGGCCTTGGACTCACTATGTAGCCCAGGCTGGCCTCGAACTCATGGTAATCCTCCTGCCTAGACCTCCTGAGTGCTGGGATTAGAGTTCTGCACCACCAGGCCTGGCTAACGTTAATTTTAATAATTAGTATTAATTAATAATTAACATTACTTAATAATGTTAATAATTTAACACTAATAAACCTTTTTCTTACCAAGAAATCTCATCAATCAGTTCTCTATCATCACACACACACACACACACACACACACACACACACACACAGCTTGTGTGTGAATGTATAAAAACCATCCTGACCCTGAACTTGCCAGTAAGCTTCATGGACATAGATGGAATAGGTGAGAGGTTCACCAAGTTCATAGTTATCGATCAAGCAGTCCAAGGGTAATTCTAGACCCCTGATTCAGACATTTACTCAAAACAACAAATTCAAAACCATCTCAGAAAAGCAAAAGAATCAACGGAAATAACTACAAACATTTTCAAAAGTAAAGTCGAGGCATGAAAGGTGCATATGATAGCAAAATTGAAAAGAAAGCTGAAGCTCTGTTGTCAGTGTTGGTTTTCTGCCAAGCAAGGTTAAGAACCAGAAAAGTAGTGGAAGGCATCTAAGACAGTGGTTCCTAGAAACTTCCCAAATTCATCTTTGGAAAGACTTAGTGGTCTAAAAGGAGGTTTCACATACCAAGAGGGATTTAGGTCTCATCTGAATTAATGAATAATTAATATTGGGAGGGGAATTAGCTCAGTGGTTCCACCACCTGCCTCACAAGCACAAGGACCTGAGTTTGATCCCCGGTACCAAAAAATAATAATAATATTAATAATTAATATTATTAGGTCTCATCTGAAAAAGCAGCTCAAAACAGAATGCCCTCAACATACTGGCTACCAAGGCTTAACAAGAGAAGATATCAATTGTGTAGATTTGCGGGGGGGTGTTTTCCTCCAAAAGTAGAATCAGTGAAGTAAGTGTTGTGGGATCACAGATTCTTGCTAAATGGTTTAGAGGTGTAGACACTCTACTCATCAAGGTCTTGCACTCTCTAATTGTAGTTTCCAGTGTCCAGAAGGTCACTGTCAAGGTCATCTTAAATTTTTGAAAACTAAAAAACATTTCCTTTTTTTTATTGGTCTCAAATTTGCCTCTATATAACTCATCTCTACTGATCCTAGAACTTTTGAATAGTGCTAAGTGGCCATGACAGATCTTGAAAATTCAAGACAATTATCAGTCCCTCTCCATGCCTTTTCTCTAAAATAAATACCTATTTAAGTGTTTCAGTCATTTTTCTCATCACTAGGACAACATACCTGACACCTACTTTAATTTTATTTTGGCTCACGTTTCAGACCACTATTGGCTGGATCCAAGGCTTGGCAGCGGACAGCTGCTCAGGGCATAGCAGACAGGAAACAGAGAAAGTGAAAGGAGGAGCTGCAGAGAGAGATAAACCTTTCCAGGCCACACTCCAACTGATCCTCCTCTTCCAAGACCCTACCTCCTAACAGCAAGTCATCTATAAACCCACGTAATCCAATTATCCTTCAAAAGCTCCACCGTTGAGCATGAGACTTTGGGAGGACATCTTGATGTTTACCATATACATGATATCTAGATCTCTCAAAAACCCAAAAGGCTGTGATTTGGCATCCAACAGTCTGCCTAAGAATCACCTGGAATGTTTATGAAAGATAAAATCAACCAGCCCCATCCCCTCAACCTCCATGTTCTGATTTAATAATATCTGGAATGGACCCTGAATCAGAATCTTTGAGTCTCCCTTCCTGATGCAGATTGTCTAAGACCCACACTTGAGAAATTGTGTTGATGTATCCTTGCCACGTTGAAATGTGTCAGATATCAGGTCTGACACTACAAACTCTCTCTGACTAACTCAAGGTTCAAGAGACCAGTGCCTGCTCTGATCTGAACATACAGTACACACTTATTTCCAGACCCCTTCTTAAGAGTGTTGGCTGACAGCTGAAGAAAAGAGGAGCATAAATTAGTGATTATTTTGACCTCATCTGAACTGTAAGATTTTATTTCACTATTAAATTGCTTAAGAGCTAAGAGGGTAAATGAAGCATGTGTATCTCAATACATCAACTGCAATCAGTGCTTTTAGGTGTAAAATAAGCTTTAACCCAATGCTTTTCATTTGTTTCAGAGGGCTATTCTTTCTTATGTAATGTCAATACTTAAATCATGCATATATTCCTGATTTCTTTCCAGCAGAAAAGCACCTGGGAAGACAATAAGATAAAACTAAGTTTTAATACTATAGTATTTGAGATAATTGAATAAAATGTTTTGTCAATTCTGTTCTTCAGGAATATAACTAAGGGGCAATTAACAATGGTGTCTAAGTGAGTGTGCTTTTTATACAAGCCTAACCAGAACTGTGAACATGGTGTTTGATTTGTTATTATGAGGGAGGCAAATGAAATTCAAACTCACATTTTGGATCTGGAATCTGGTCCTGCCCAAAAAGAAAAAAGACTAGGAATAGTCTTTTTGTTTTGTTTTGTTTCTTTGTTTTTTTGGTTTGTTTGTTTGTTGTTGTTGGGTTTGGGGGGGGGGGTTGTGGGGTTTTTTTTGAGTCAGGGCCTCTCTTTGTAGTTCAGACTGGCCCTGAACTCACTATGTAGCCCAGGCTGGCCTCCAACTTGCGGCTATTCCCCTGCCTCAGCCTCCTGAGGGCTGGGATTACAGGCGTGCACCACCACACCCGATGACTAAGAATAGTTTTACATCATGGTTTCTTTTTAGTTGAAAGGTTTTTTTGCTATTACTATAGCCTTTAGAAAATTATTGACTAATTTAAAACTTAGTTATTTCATACGCTTTTGATCTAGGACCAGCCTGTCAGCTTGCATTACAATCCCAGTTTTTACAGGTTTATAGACAATAGCAACATCCTCACATTGTGAAAGCAAGGATCAGAACAGATTAAATTTTTAACTGGGGTCAAATGGCAAGAGACACAGTTTCCTACCCAGCAAAATAATAAATTGAGAAGTAGAAACTCCAGGTACAGAGAGGAGGTAGAAACAAGGCATGAAGCAAGGTGAGATTGTCTGAGATATTACTATGACTCAGCTCTGCTTTGTGACAGTGGGGTGGGAGAAAGGAAGGAAGGGACAAGAAAAAAAGTGAAAATAGGGGCTGGGGATTTAGCTCAGTGGTTCTGGTGCCTGCCTTGCAAGTGCAAGATCCTGAGTTCAATCCCCAGTAACAAAAAAAAGGTGAAAATAGAAGGAAAAATGGAAACAAAGCTTTTGTATATAGGGAGGAGAGGGGACTTGAGGGGAGGAGGGATGGGAAAAAAAGGCAGGATGTATTGTGTACAGGTACAAATTCCCTACGAAGAGTGATATCATTTTGTATCCCTAAAATGTATCAATATGTTTTACTATAAAAAAATCAAAAAGTTAAACACTGATGACATACAATGGCACGGGATTAACATTCCCATTCCACTTAAAGGGAGGAATAAGGAGAAAGAAACCAATGGGACCAAAGCAAGGCCAAAACCCAGCAGGAGAAACATTAAATCCTGTAGTTACCTGTCCAGAACCTAGAGCAAACTGTGGTAAGATGCAAACTCCAAAGGGCTGGGGCGACTCCACCTCTATGGCACTGCCAGTGCTTGCAGCATTCTTGGCTTCTCTTTTAGGCTGGCTTTGCTTACTCCTTTTGGCTTTCCTCTGATGTTCCATTTTTCCGGCTTCTTCAATTCTTGGTGTCTAAACCCATCTGGCTACTGAACTAATTTCCTTCAAAATTTGGACCAGGGAAAAGTGAAGTCTATTCCAGTAGTCACAAAAAAGATTCAATGCAGACGACTTACTTCTACTGGAGATGTCCTGGAAGCAAGCATTACCCTGATACCAAAATCAGAGAAGGAGCCAACAGAAAAAGAGAACTACACGCCAATCTCCCTAATGAACATAGATCCAAAAATCTTCAACAAGATACTGGCAATGCACATCAAGAAGGTTATACATCATGACCAAGTTGGATTCATCCCAGGGATGCAAGGATGGTTCAACATACGCAAATCAATAAATGTAATACACTATATTAAGAGAGTCAAGGACAAAAACCATATGATCATCTCAATAGATGCAGAAAAAGCATTTGGCAAAATCCAACACCCATTCATGATAAAAACCCAACAGAAAATTTGAATAGTCTTTGTCTCAACCTGATAAAAGCCATCTATGAGAAACCAACAGCCAACATCATACTAAATAGTCAAAAACTGAAATCTTTCACTCTGAAATCAGGAATGAGAAACAAATGCCCACCATCACCACTCTTGTTCAATATAGTTCTGGAAACATTACCCAGAGCAATTAGACAAGAGAAAGAAATAAAAGGAATAAGGATAGGAAAGGAAGTATTAAATGAGCTCAGCAACTTGTCAGGATATAAGATATACTTTTCAAAATCAACTATTTTTGACATGCTAGTGAAAAACACATTAACATCAAAATTTAAAGCATAATACCACTTATAATCATTCAAAAATGAAATGCTGATATACAGATTTGACAAATTAGGTACTGGACTTGTTTACTGCTAAAAAAAAATGTTGATGAAAGAAATCAAAGATATAAATAGAGAGACATTTTATATATTTATGTTACCTGCTGAGCACTAAAGCCATTTGAATTTGCCACTCATTGGAAATATATGTCAATTACCTTCTACTGTGTAACTAACTTCTGTGTGATGATTTAAATCCCCAAAGGGATGTAGATGGCTGGAGTAGTCTGGGCCTTACTCAGATATATGTGGCCTCTGCTGTAAGGCAAGGCTGGCTGGAACAATGGCAGCCTTTCTCCACACGCTCTCTCATCCTCCAAGAAGCTAACCTGGGCGTGTTCGGGTAGTAACAGAAGGGTTTCCAGTAGCAAGAGAGCCTGAGTCTCAACACACAGCACTTTTCAGGCCTGTACTTACATCATATTTGATAATGTTCCATTGGCCAACAAGTCATATGACCAAGCCCAAACTCAAGGAGTGAAGAAATAGGATTTAACCCCGTTTTGCAAAGTCTTATGACATAGGACATGCTTATAGGAATACAAAAAATTGATAGTTTCTCTTTCAGCCACTTGTCATATACTGTGACTTATTTTGCCATTATCCTTTTTGCTACACTGTTCACTATGATGTACATCCTTCTATATGAAACTCTAAACAGCTCTGATATTTTTTCCTTATGAAAAAATCCTGGTAGAATAAATGAACAAAGAAAAATACAACTTTATTTAAAATTCCAAATTCTATTCTAATGAAGTTGTACTCATATATCTAAGATACAAAATAATGTACATTTATTCAACATCTTCAACACTAGACATTACTGATTTTTAAGTAGCCTATATGTCCACTAACAGATGAATGGATAATAAAAATGTGGTGTTTACACACAATGGAGTATTACTCTGCCATAAAGAAGGATAAACTTGAGTCATTTGTAGGAAAATGGATGCCCCTTGAGACCACAATGTTCAGTGAAATAAATCAGACACCCAAGCTTGAATGTCACATGGTTTCTCCAAGAGAAACCCAAGCAAAAATAAAGAACAAAATAAAAACAAATAATAAGAAACAGAGCTAGATCTTTTGCAAAAAGACAAAGAGGTGGGGGAGAATAAAAAAAGAATTAAGATATGTTCTGTACATGTACCAATCCCCCATGTAATTATCATGTACTGCAAACACATACTAAAATTTTAAAAAGTTTTTTTAAATCATTGCCAACAGAAGAGATGAAAAATGTCGTTCTTTTGATTTTTATTTCTTTATTATTATTACATATTACTGATGAAGGCAAATATCTTTCATGGATTTATTGATACTTTATTTCCATTTAGTGACCAGTTTATATCCCCTGCTCGGTTGTCTACTGTTCTACTTGTTTTTTAATTTATTTTCTAAACCGATGTGTATATAAAAGGTTAAATCTGGTTTGTCATGTATGTTGCTGCTATGATATCAACAGTGGGATTTAAAACTTACTTGTTGCAATTTTGAGAGGATAGAAACTTAATTTTCATGTAGTTAACCCAAATTTTCTTTTCTGCCTTCAAATTGGATATTAACTATATTTTATTCTATTGTTTTTGTGGTTTAGAATTTTTATATTTGCCTCTCTAATCTGCTAGGAATTTATTTGATGTATAGCTAGAAGTAAAATCTAATTATTTCCCTATTTATCCAGCTGCTCATGGAAAATTACCAAACAATGAGTCTTTCTCTAGTGATTTGGAGTACTAATTTTATCATATTTTAAATGCTTCTTATTGTTTTGTCTGCTTCCAGGCATTATAATCTGTTATACTAGTGTGATATTTTCTAATTATTTCAGTTTTTAAACAGGCATTAACATCTAGCTATAACAAACATCTTCCAATTCCTTCCACTTTTTTTTTTAGACAGAGTTTCACTATGAAGTTCAGGCTGGCCTTAAACTCACTGTGATCCTCCTGCCTCAGCCTCCCAAGTGCTGGGATTATAGGCATGTGCCACCACGCCCAGCCATTGCCATTCTTTATTAACATTTTTATTAATGTATCTTTTATCCAGTTTTCCATATGAAATGTAGAATAGCTTTGTCAAAATCCCCACTAAGATTTCTTACAAAATGTCATTAAGTATATAATCAATCTCCCTATCACAAAACATAGAATGTCTTCTATTTATTTGTTTCTTATGTATATCAAAATTTTTGCCATTCTTTCAGATCATTTTTATTATATCTACACCCAGGTACTGTATCTTCTATTTCTGATTTCTAACGAATGTAATATTTTATTATTGTTTCTAACTGGTTATTATAAGCATTTTAATTGTTATTGCTTTTGTCTACTTGCTTTGTAACTTGCATGACCTAAATCCAATTCATGGGCCTGGGAATTTAGCTCAGAATTTAGCTCAAAGTGTTTACTTACCACGTACAAGGCCTTGGGCTCAATCTTCAGCACCACAACAAAACAAAACAAAACAAAACAAAATCTTTCTATTACTATTCACAGTGATACTTCAGTTAATCAAAATGTGAAATGTTAAAGAAAATGTCAGACCAATTAATCAACAAATGAGTGTGTATAAATTAGATGAAAGTAAACAGAAATAGAGGAAGCTAGGAATAAAGGTAAAAATATTACAGCCACCTAGCCATCACCACATGCTAAAACTGCATTTACAAAATTAACAGACTAGAATCAAGCAAACATAATATGAGAAAGCTTAAAAAGCGTGCAGTGCACAACTGGAAATGAAACGGGGAGAAAAGGGTGGCCTGAAGTATGTTCGAGTGCTGCTGGGCTCAGGAAGAAAGCTAGCAGCTGCCCAAGTATGAGGCAGCAATGGGGACTTCCTGTCAATCACCTCAGAGCTCAGCGTTGAGCGCAGCACCCTGAGGTGCACAGCAACCTGAGGTGCACACTGTTGTGCGGCTTTAACAGAAACAGAACCAGCAGCTCTGAGAGTTTAACCTCCTCAAGCTGACTCAGCCTGGAACTAGCAGATCTGACTCTCACACCAACCTCTATGCACGTCCCACTGCATTTCTGATCTTCCAAGCCCTTTACCGAATAAAGAAATGTACATTTAAATAAATAAATGTGAAATTCCACTTTCCACAAATTTAACAGGTAAAAACACAACTCAGAAGTTTCCCTGAGAGTTAACATTCCAGAAACTTCAGATTCCATCTTTTTTTGTTTTTGTTTTCTGTTTTTTGAGATAGTTTTGCTATGTAGCCCAGGGTGGGCTTAAACCTGAAGTGATCCTCGTGCTTCAGCCTCCGGAGTACTGGGATTATAGATGTGCCCACCATGCCTGGCTCAGGTGCTGTCTCTTTAAACAAATTTAGTATCATTTTTCCCTCATACTTCCTTTCCTTTCCTTTCAGGCTCAAGCTTTACAACTCTAAAATGAGTAAATCAAATTTATAGTATCAAAACTTTGCCAGGCTACTCATTTTAATCTCTTCAGTAGGTTCATTCAAACATTACAGCAATGCCTTCTTCTCTTACCTTTTCAAACAAAACAGAAACATTCTCTGAACGAGTATAGCCCCACCTGCTGTGCTGTTCAAACTATAAATTTCTGGACTCCAACCCAGGTTTACTTAATCCAAATTGGTGAGGCCAGGGCCAAAGAATTTGAGTTTGGAATGAGGCACTCTGGGAATCTTTGCTTTATCTTCCGCCACCATCACAGGAGTGAAATGAAATAAATGTCTTAGTTCCTAGCACAGTGCCTGGCTCCAGGAGACCACTGACGGGTGGTGGTAGTTATGCCTATTTCCTTTCTATAGAAAGGCTTCAAAGGGTAATTGTCACACTTGAAGAGCTTTTATCTTTGATCCATAAATCAGAAATGATGTAATACTGTGAAAATTTTTTCACAAAACTAAAAGTAGAAAAAACAGCCCCAGAGGAAATGAGAGAATGCAATCTCCCACAGTCTTTTGTCCCTTATTTACACCTATTTGCATACACCCTTTTGGTTAGTTAGTTGGTTGGTTTACTTCAATAGCGGCTTCTGATTAAGTTTGTTAAATATACTAAATTTGTATATTACATCCCTAAGTCAAATACACAGTCCTTGCATTCACACACACACACACACACACACACA